CCCCCTTGCCCCAGTCCCGATCCCCTCCCGTCCTCCGAACCCCTCAGTCCCAGCCCAGAGCACCCGCTGCACCCAACCATCAATTTCGTGAGCATTCGTGGCCCACCATACAATTTCTATATCCAGATGTGGCCCTCAGGCCAAAAGCTTTGCCCACCCTTGGCCTAGAGTGTGCCACACATCTGCCTGATGTGTATGTTACCTACGAAATAAATATGAAAGCTGTATAATTATTACTCTATTAAAAATGGGGGTTGGGGCTGATTTGAGATTTTGTTAGCCGAGGACCATCGCTGAATTTATTACTGTTCATCTAACTCCCTATTAGTTTGCAGAAGAGAAGTGTCGATATCCTATAAAATAATAAAAAACTTTAACCAGAGCGGGGGAAATTATTTCTGTTGCAGTTAAAATGTATAACCCACCCAGTTAGCCTCCAGATTATAGGATATTGGACTAAGCTCATGCATCAAAAAATATAATGACAGCATAAGGCCCCAGTCATACCATGCAGTCAGCTCACGGCGCATGTGAGTCAGTTGAGTCAACAGGACGCCACATGGGTGCTGGTGGCATAACACACCTGTGTCGCGTCCCCATCAAGTGGCTAGTGCACATCGAGGTAAGCAGCCTACTACTACTGGGAGCTGATGGAGTTTCTCCTTCAGCTCAAGTAGCAGAAGGCTGTTCTGTATTGCTGAAGATCCTGACTGAGTTCCTACCCTGCAGTCTGGATTGAAGGAATGGGGCCTAATCTCTATGTCGATAAAAGGGAAATAACAAGTATTTGAATTATTTAATTAACCTATTGGTTGTATGAGTTAGTGGTAATTGCAGCGGTACCAGGAAATATAACCACAGGGTAATTACACCATGCTTTAATTGACTGTTTAATGACTGGATTATGAAGCATAACTATTATTTCAGTCTGTAAGTATATACAGTCTCCAAAGGGTTAAGTAAGGACATTTATGTTCTACCCTCAGCATGTGCAGCAGGAGACACACAGACATGGGTTGAAGTGGGGAATTAGGCCTGTTAGTTGGTCATAAATCATGTTTCATATTGTTTTCAGATTAGCCAGGAACCATGTCGGAGACAAGACGGCAGCGAGACTCTCCCTCTCTCTGCCTAGCATGTGCCACTTGAAGATCCTTCAGTAAGTGCTTGCTTCCACTTCTGTACTCACATTCCAAGAGGCAGGGCACCCCGGAAATACTGGGACTGATAAAAAAGAGACTGAAAATGGAAGCAGGAGAACAATGAATCGGTGACATGGTTAAACAAATCTAAAATGCATGAAGTGAACAAAGACTTGCCAAGACCAGCTTTCATTACCTACCTGCTTCCAATGCTTCCTAACACAGTTTGACTACTATTTATTGCCATATGTCTTTACGGTAGCGTCATTCCATCATAAAAACTTTTCCTCATTCCCACTCAGCTCTTGGCCTCGGTAAATATCTTGTGGCAATCAGTTCCACAGATTAGTTAGGAAATGTATAAAAGACTTCCTTTAATCAGTTCTGAATATGTTACATATTAGTGCTGTTGGGTGTCCTCTTGTTCTCATATGGCGAGAGGGTAAATAGGCACATCCATCTGGCCCGTCATTATTTTCTCACCTCTTATTTGTCTCTTCTCTAAACTGAGTAGTGCTAAATTTTTAATCCTCATGTGGAAGTCTTGCCAAGCCTCTAATCAATAGGACACTGCCCTGCTCTGCCACAGCAGCAAAACAGTTAAACGGCCCTAATTTTTCTCTCTACTATCTTAGACCAAACTCCCCCATGCCATGGGTACAGGTCAAATACGCTGTGCCATGCGGCTTTTAATTTCCTGGGGGCATTGCTTCTTATGGTGACTGGTCGATCTTTGTCCATCATTTATTAATGCAGCGCTAAATCTCCCTGTTTAACTACAGCTGCTTTGTGAATGAGCGTCGCATGTGAAAAGCAAGGGGAGGTTACATGTGAAATTCTAGCCCCATTTAAGTCAACTGGGAGTTTTGTTTTGACTTTAGTGGGGTCAAGATTTCACCCTCCAGATGCACTGAGGTGAACGAAGGTAAATTGGAGTGGCTAGTTAGAGTACAAATTGCTAGCCACATTCCGATCACTGGTTTGTCGCTGTTCTCAAGGTCTCATAAAGAAGGGTGCAAATGTCAAAGAGAGGGATTCCGGTTGAATCAGTTCTGGAAAAGCAGCTGTTTCTTTGACAGGAAGTCGCATATACAAGGATTTGTTACAGTTTTCTTCTGAAAAGTTTGTGTCTGAATTTCTTCTCTCACCAGTCTGCAGTCCAATAACATTGGTTCACTTGGAGGAACACCGCTGGCCAAAGGCCTGGTTGAATGCCAGCAGCTAGAAGAGATAAGGTAGGTGCTGTTGGGAATTAATAGGGATGTGTTAAGAAGTAGGACTTGGTGTACCTCTGCGTGTCGGTCTGGATTATATATTGGCTTCCCTGTAAAACTAAGCCCTGGTCTACACTAGAGCGGGGGATCGACCTAAGATACGCAACTTCAGCTACGAGAATAGCGTAGCTGAAGTCGACGTATTTAGGTCTACTTACTGCAGTGTCTTCCCGGCACTGAGTCGACTACTGCCGCTCCCCCGTCAACTCCGCTTGTGCCTCTCGCCGAGCTGGAGTACCGGAGTCGACGGGAGAGCGCTCGGGGATCGATTTATCACATCTACACTAGACGCGATAAATCGATCCCCAATAGATCAATCACTACCCGCCGATCCGGGGGGTAGTGTAGACGTACACTTAGCATACAAACAGCAGTACACAGTTACGTGTAGAATTTACAACTATGTAGGTGAAATCCTGGCCTCGTTGAAATCAATGTCAAAACTCCACTTGCTTTCACTGAGCCCTCGATTTCACCCATGGAGTTTAAAGCCCCTGTGCAAATGCACAGAGCCTGTAGGTCAATCCTGCTTCATGCACTGACTTACAGAGCGTGTTCAGGGAGACCTTCCCTGCATATTCCCTCTTTGCGACACTGGTATCAGGATATTGCTCTCTTAGCATCACCATCCGCCAGCCAGCCTAGGCCCAAATGTGGGATGCTGTGTGTGACAGGAGGTAACACGTAAAATAATCAGACAGCTTTGGGATGCCTTTCTTTCAGTATAAAGGACTCCTTCTGAAACCTCTAGGTCATGACGCTTTACCTCTGAAGTAAATAATTTTCCGAAATAGAACTGACGGGGACATGAAATTTGAGGCAAATGAAATTGCCCTGATGCCATGCACTTGCTTATTTCATCAGCAACCTCTAGGTTAAATGACAGCAGGGTGCCACCTGCTGGTAAGTGTGAGAATGCACTTGCCTTCTGCCCCAGGATACACTTCAAGCTGTCAGCGATGTCTTTACACTTCCAAAGAGTTGACATAACCTTTGGCTCAGCCCCGGAGACACCAACTAGAGACCGTCCTATGACTTATTCTCTCCTACTGCAAACAAGTGGGCAGAGTGAACCGTTGATCCCGGGTGTGTTTTACAAAGCAACATCTCTCTATCTTAGGTACTGACATGGCCCGTTTCTCAGGCTAGGTCTACACTACAGCGGGGTTCCGACCTAAGATACGCAACTTCAGCTACGTGAATACCGTAGCTGAAGTTGCGTATTTTAGGTCGGCTTACCTGGCGGTGAGGACGGGGGAAAGTCGACCGCTGCCGCGCTGCCGCCGACTCCGCTGACGCCTCTTGCCGAGGTGGATTTCCGGAGTCGACGGCAGAGCGATCAGGGATCGATTTTACCGCGTCCTCACGAGACGCGGTAAGTCGATCCCCGATAGACCGATTGCTACCCGCCGGATCGGCGGGTAGTGAAGACATAGCCTCAGTCTTTAATGGATTTACCTTTACAACACGCAGTGAGGCAGGGCAGTGCTATTGTTCCCATTGTACAGATGGGGAACTGAGGCACGGGGAGGTTAAGTGACTTGATTAAGGTCACACAGGAAGTCTGTGGCAGAGCCAGGAATTGAACCTGGGGTTCCCGAGTCCCAAGCTAGCCACTGACCATCCTTCCTCTTCTCAAGCCCTCACCTTAGCACTACTGTTTGTTAAGGAATGGGGTTGCTTTTTGCCAGCGTTAGCAGCCCAGTGTCTCTTCTCTGATCACAGCTTCTTACAGCCACTCAGTGCGTTCTGACTGTCCTTGCAGTTTGTCAGAGAACAGCTTTGGGGAAGGCGCCATCCGCACCCTGTCAGAGGGGCTTCCACGATTCACCCGGCTCAGGAAGATTGAGTAAGTCCAATTGCGTGAGGCACAGTGGATCTGTGGTTCTCAGAACAAGATTTCAGCGGTGACCCAGCCAGCAGGGTGTTGACTTCAGTGGACCTGTGCCCGTTGACGCCAGCTGGTCCAGGGGGTGTGGTCTGTGGCTGCGCTAATTTACACAGGGGGAGAATTGGCCTCAGGCAGCCCCATGGATTGATGAGCGAGCACAATGGCGGAATACAGGCACTTTCCCTGCCTCGCTCAGACCCAAAGAGTGGGGCCTGTAACAGCTGTGTAGACACTCAGGCTGGAGCTCGGTTTCCGAAGCCTAGGGGTGGGGTAGGTTTCGCAGCCCTCACCGCAGTGTCTACACAGCTGTTTTCAGTGCAGCAGCACGAGCCGGAGTCTGTAGAGCCGGGCTCCGAGACGCGCTGACGCGGGTTGTAAAACATGGCATAGACGTTCCCAAGGGGATTCCAGACAGGCGAATGGAGTCCCTGACATTTCCTGCGATAAACTGCCTGCCAGCCGCGTGGACCAGCGATTCCATTTGTGTTTCCAAATCCTGCTTCCCTTTAGACTGAAACTCTGTGGAATCAGCGATGGCGTTTCCAAACATCTTGCCCTCGGCTTCAGTCGTTGTCCCGTCATTGAAGAGATCATGTGAGTGCAGGGCGTGGGTATATATCTCGCCTCGGGGCCCGAATATCCATTTCACACTAGTTAGCACCTGCCTGTCTTCTGGTTACTGTGCACGTTCATTCCTGCCTAGCTCTCGCGGTATCTTATTGAAACCTGAATGGAAATTGTGGGTCAGTGGAAATGAAACCCAAACCTTCCTCTTTAATGGACGCCCCTGTGACGAAGTGGGGGGTTTTCTTGTTTGTTTACTGCCGGCATCATGGCATCTCGTGTGAGAGTAAGAGAAGCAGGTTACTGGTCTGGATTCTCTGCTGCCCTGCCCCATTGTAAAGTGGGTATGAAAAACTACCAGATCAGAACGGGAGCACAGTGTACATTACGACAATTCCCTAACCGTCTAGCAGGGGCTCGCAGCTGACTTTCTACATTCACAATCACTCAGGTGATATGTATTGAACTGGTTAGTGTGTATCGTGTCACTGCCTTCCATTGGATGGAATCAGAACTGCTCAGCTATGTGTCACAGCTTCTATACTGCTAGCGGGTAAGGAAGAGTCTCCTTTAGCTGCAGTGTTATCGGTTTCTGGTTTTGAAGCAGGCAGTCCTGAGTTCTAACCCTTCTGTCACCGGGAAGCTCTGAGTGGCCATGGGGTGCAACAGAGTGACACTTGTGAATTCCCTAAATGGCCAGGAAATTGTTACAATATAAGGCCCCAATCCTGCAAAATGTCCCTATTTTATAATAAATGGTGTAATCACGCCAAAGCCACAACTCTGCCCTGCTGCCAGCCCTGCTTCCTCCCACCCCAGGAGGGAATTGCCATTGCAACCCGGAGCAGGCAGGGGCACACGGACTGGGCACCCCTGCCCCAGAGGCAGCAGTGGCATACCCTGCCCCCCCCCCCCCCCCAAGCGCTGCAGTTTCCTGCCACGCCAAACTGCTGTTGGCTCATTTCAGCACTGCCAGCCCTTGGATGCTGCTGCCGGAGGCAGGAACCAGCCTCTCTGCAGCCGGCTCCATGCGCTTCTGCTCCCTGCCACCAAGGTGAACCGCCTGGCTAGAAACGGTGCCTCTGCATTGCGACAAGGTGCACGGAGCCGGTTGCAGAAGGGCTAGTCTGTGCCGCGGATGGCAGCATCCAAGGGCTGGCAGTGCGGAAATCTGCAGCAATTCTAAAAAGTTGTGCTGTCGACTGACAGTTGCGGTTACTGCAACAAACCCGCCATTTTCATAGTCTCACCGCTACGCCATTTGGAACGTCCCCCTGCTCAGCAGGTGCTGACAGCTGGAGTCTGAGCCTCTGCCCCTCCAGTCAGGACAAAAACTCCCTCGGTGACAAACCAGAAAGCAAAAGCTCTCATCCTCTGAAAGGTCAAATGAAATCCTGTTATACAGAGCTCAGAATAAAGGGCAGGTAGGAGAATTTAACGGGCGCTGTTGTGGGCCCCATTAGCTATGGCCTGCTGTGACATTTAACACCATGAACAGAGCAAGGAGCTGCCTCGCTGTAACGTTCTGAGCTGATGTACAGGAGACCCGAGTCTTGATTAGTCTCTCACTCCCCGGGCCAGCTGGCCCACAGAATGAGCAGCACCCCACTCAGTTCTGTGGAGTCCTGTCTTGCATAGAAAGATATTGTGGCCATGAGGTAGTTCCTCAAGGGGAAGAGTAGAAAGCTGGGGGGAAATAAAGCTTCCCTAGGCTGCGACAGGGGAAAATTTCCCCCTAGGGTCAGAGCAAAATAAACTCTTTCCCTTGCTAAAATCTTGTGGTTCACTGTATGACTTTGGCTCTCCGAAATCATTGTGCTAGTATGTGATGGAGACTGCACCAAAGCGCTGCTGCTGTATCTCTGGGGCTTACGCTTTCATTTGCCTCAGGTGACCAACCAGCTGATGTTTCTGGTTTTATTTAGATTGTCGTGGAACAGTCTTGGTGATGAAGGTGCCCTGGAGCTGGCCACGGTTCTCCCGAGAATGGCAAGGCTGAGGATGCTAGAGTGAGTGTGACGGGGCACTATCAAGTATTGCCGCAGGGGAATTTCCATATATGGAATCACAGACCTTATTAAATAGGAGACATTTGTTAAAGGAAATAGCTATAAACTTAGACACGAGAAAACAGGCTTCCACACAGCTTGAGCTCTTGCTTAGTCTGTTTTGTTTACCAGGGACCAAACTATGCCTGGAACTCTACACAGTGCAGAGAGACATCTAATAGCTCAATAATGCACTGCAAGTAAACATGTAATTATATTCACTAAAGAAATAACTGTTGACTACTAGGTGAGATTCAAAGTTGCGATGAAAGGAGAGAGAGAGAGAGAGAGAGGATTTGGCTCAACAAGGAGTTTTCTTTAGGTTTTTCACCATAAAATGGATGTAGTTAAACTTACTTTTCATTATTAAATGTTTGTTTCATTTTCCCATATCATTCATCTGGGGCCAAGGAAGGTAGATTAGTTGGTTTCTAAGGCCTTGGCTACACTTGCAAGTTAGAGGGCATTAAATCAGCCCCGGGCGCCCTAACTCCTGAGGTGTCCACACTGGCAAGGCACTTAAAGCGCCTGGACTCCGCCGCTGGAGTGCTCCTGGTTAATCCACTTCCATGAAAAGCATAGAGCTTGCTGCACCCCGGCTGAAATGTCTGGGTGTCAGTGTGGACGACGTGTTGCATTACTGCGCTGTGATTGGCCTCCGGAAATGTCCCATAATCCCCTGAAGTCAAGTGGCCATTCTGGTCATTGTTTTAAACTCAGCTGCAGGCATGCAGATATCCCCTTTCAAAGCTCCGTTTCTGACAGCCGGCGTGCTTATCTGCCAGGACACAAAGCAACCCATTACTGTGGAATGCTCCTGCTGCAGAGGCAGGCATTTGTGCATGTGTGTGAGAGATAGGGAGGTGGGGGGTGGGGGCTGATGTCGGGGTTTCCCCCTGCCGCTGTCTGAACTTACAAGACGGCATGCTGACACACTCTGCCCCCCAAAACACACTGTCTCTCCTCCCACATACACACAACACGCTCCCTGTCACACTCCACCTGCCCCATTTGGAAAGCACGCTGCAGCCACTTGCATGCTGGGATAGCTACCACAATGCACTGCTCTCTGTGGCGTCGCAAGAGCTGCTAATGTGGCCACGCCAGTGCGCTCGCCGCTGACAGTGTGAACACACGGCAGCACTTTCCTTGCTGCGGTCTCCGAGGGCGGCGCTCTACATCTGCAAGTGTAGCCATAGCCTTAGGCTGTTACATGCTCAATTTCACTGGCTGTGACTCAGGGCTTGTCTTCACAGCACAGTTAACTGGAATTATAGCTTGAGTGTTACCCGTAACTCAACTCCCATCCACACACAAAAATCTCTAGCGAGAGTCAAGTGGTGCTTTAAGCTAGCAATGCAGTGGGGATGCCACCACGCCAGCTATCAGCAGCTAATCCGGTCAGTGTGTGCTGCTAATCCGGTCGCTCTGTGTAACTCCCAGTGTTTTGATATGTGGTCACTGTCACTCAAGTTAGGCTAGTTTGAGTCCAGTAACTCCAGCGACAGCCACCACACTTCAAAATGGAGCCTACTTCCCTCCAGCCAACTGCTGCAGTGGAGACAAGCCCACAGGCACTAGCAAGAATGCCGTGTTTGCAACAAGGGGGTCCGTTCCTGACAGTCCTTGGCACTGATCCTGGAGTGGGATCCACTGAGGTTCTGCATAAATGCAGGGGTCCATGCTAGCAAATCTCAGGCCAGGGTGAACAGCCGCGGTGCCCTTTGCTTTTGCAAACAGGGAAAGGAGGAAGGAGAACTTCTGAACCTGACCTGTGTCGCGGAGCATTGCAGCCTGTGGTACATAGCAGAAGCTTAGCCGATCTTTTCCTAGCCTGTTCTGAAAACCATTTGCACATTCTCTTTCCCTTTCTGAAAGTCTGGACAATAACCGCATTGCAGCCCGGGGTGCCAAAAAGCTAGCGGAGGAGCTCGCCAAGTGTTGTGGAATTCAAGTCATACGGTGAGCACGCGTCTCAGGTGGCACCAGGGGCTGGGGGCAGTAGCACTTCTGTAAGGGTGATGGCGCCCGACTGGCCAGTCAGCATTAGGATCGCTGGAGTGGATTAGGACACTAAATGGGGCCCAGGCCTAAAAACGTTGTGGGCTTCCCAGACTGACTCTTCCCCGCGGAGTAGCTCGCCCTTCTCAGAAACAGTCATAGCAATAAGTGATGGAGTTCCCATCCAGAGAGACATGGTGGGTGAGGTAATATCTTCTATTGCAACAACTTCTGCTGGGCCGGACCTGAAGAAGAGCTCTGTGTGGCTCGAAAGCTTGTCTCTCTCACCAACAGAAGTCGGTTCAGTAAAAGATATCACCTCACCCACCTTATCTCTAATATCCTGGGACCGAGACAGCTACAACACCACCGCCTAGGTCCCATCTAGCCCATCCTTTTGCCCAGTATGAGATTGCTGCTTAGCATGCATTTTCTATTGCTCTGGTTTTCCATGGGACTCCCACCACTCCCCTGGGGAGGCTATTAGACAGCTTCATACATCTCACTGTCAGGAAGCGTATCCTGCTATTGCATTTTCCCTTCCATTTTTCTACATCTTGTTACACCCGGTTGTACTCCCTTGTGTTCTCCCCCAAACAACCCATCTTCACTCTTGGTGTCTACATCCTTCCCATGCTTGGAGACCCCTTTGTTTCCCCCAGCTTGAGTCCTTGCTTAGCCAAGCTCTACGTATTGAACTCCCTTTAACCTCTTCCCTAGTCCCTCCAGCCCTGTGATCATTCTTGTTACTGTTCTTGGAACTCCCTCCGATTTGACAATATCCGCCTGGTAACGGGGCCCCCAGGACGGAGCACGGTTATTCCAAGTGCAGTCACAGCAGAGCTGTATAGAGAGAGAGACTCTTTCTCCCCCCCCCCCCCCCCGTCTTTGTCTTTGCACAAGCTGGTCCAAAAGGCATTGGTCTCTTTTGCTGCTGTATCACGCTGGGCATGTCTGCATAACTGGCTGTTCCCTGCTACACCTAGGAATGACCGCATCCCAGCTTTCTCCCGCTCGTTACGTTTTGGAATATTTTTCTGCGAGTTTATTAGGTCAGCTCTTCCTCCCACTTCTGATACCACAATAAACCCTCGTCTTTTGAATCAGAAATCTCTCCCCCAAGATAGACAACTCATCCCACCCCAGCTGGCAGGTAAAAAGCCGCTGTGCTGCCCAACGCCAGCTGCAGCTCTGCCTCTGAAGCAGTGCTACCCCCAGGCCCCTCTCACCACTGGGCCTGCGTGCCAATGGTCCAGGCCTCCCTCACCAATCAGCCCCTGTGGATTAGGAGCAGACAGTTATGAACTGCACCCCAGCAGGAAGGAGGAAGGGTATCTGGGGATATTTCGAACCACTAATAACCCATGCAATGTCATTTTAGGCTTTGGAACAATCCAGTACCCAAGAACATTGAAGAAAGTCTTACGAAGCAAGATGCAAGATTGCATTTCTCATTCTTTTAATAAAGGAAGAACATTAAATGACTAAGAGCTGATTTGGTAGGGTAGGTAAGCCAGGTACCACTACTGCTATCCTGGTGAATTGCACTGAAAAGGAGCCTAGAGAAACAGAGAAAGCAGAATTCTAAAAATGAATACTGTAAGCATGTGGCATTCTGGCCCTGCTCTTAGAACACAGAGGTAACTCTCACTATTTTATAAACCTCAAACTAAGCTTCCTCCTGAGTTTGGTTATTCTGAGGTTACTCCCTGCAAGAACTCTCTGTTCCTGGCCTTAGTTCCCGTCTACCTCAAAGAGAGATTTTAATCTTTTATACTCCTGGGTTGAAGCCAGTAAGATCCACTGGATCTGGCAGTCAAGGTGAGTCAGAAGAATAGCTCTGTATCTTTATACAGGACCATAACACCTGATACCAGGGTGAGTCAGAAGAACTCTGCATCTCAGTGTAGGGAGCTAGAACCTAACACCCTATTGCAAATACTCTCCAATGTGTTGTTTGAATATGGTGTATGTTTCCCTCAGACCAATATCATTTCTAAGGCTGGGCAAAATATTCACAACAAACCAGTGACTGCTTGGCATTTTGTTTTGATTCTGCACACTACTGTGTGAACATCAGCCTATTGTCAAGCAAACAAAGATCAATCTTCACATTTTGATCGCGTAAAGATCAAGTTTCAATGAGAAAATAACTGTTTCATAATGAGCAAAGTCTGGAGGCTGCAAAATGGCATAGAACAGAATTGTAAATACAGTGTGAGAGGTATTTCAGGGTGGGGGCAGGAGAAAGATATTCCCTATTTTCATACTGCTTTAACTGTTTCACTGGGCTTGGAATGCTAAATGGGGCCCTCTATTTGAAATTGCACTAACCTGTTTGAGGTGAAGGGGGGGTTGCGTGGTCTTGGATGAAATGCTGCAATCGCTACATGGGCCCAATCCTGCGATCTGATCTGTGTGAGCATGTAGTCAAAGGATCTGCCCATGCATATCCAGTTGCAGGATGGGAGCCATGCGGAGCACCTTATTTATACCCATTCATTGCAATGTGGCTGTCTTGTATGTTTGGTACTGTAAATATTTAATCTCTGAAATGAAATGGGTTTATTTATCGACTTGTTTACAGCAGTGGTTTGGATTGGGAGCTGCATTCTGTTGTATTAAAAGAAGCATTTTTTAGCAATGACGAGCGCTGATAAGTGAAGAGCACATGTACTGTTGGTTCCCACTATTCCATGAAGTATGGGTAGTGATTGTTTTTATTGAAAGATCAGTGTTAAGTTTCCCAAGGTGCATATTTGGTTTTGATTTATATGACTCATTTGGTTGCAGCGTGGTTATACTCTGAAAAGGGATGGGGCAGGGGAGCCCAAAGTCACCAGTGAGCTTCCATATTTAGGTCCAAATTCAGTAAGGCACTTGAGCATGTGTGACTTGAGCATGTGCTCAAAGTTAAGCACGTGCTTTGGTGGATCTGGGTTGTATCTCCTTTCCATGTTTCCAGATGTAATTTACTTTGTTTACAAGTGAAAATAGGATTTTTCTAACTGCCAGCCTAGCAAACTGCAGCTGGGTGACTCCAGGTGACCTGCTGTGGCTACTGAACCCAAGAAGTGTCTGTGAGTTTGAGTTCTGCCCTTAGCAGGTTTCTGAGAACATGTGTGGGACACATTAATTGTTCTCTGCCTACATGGTCTCCTCCCAGAAGTTTAGGTGGTCAGATTAGCTGATTCTAATGGTCCCTTCTGGCCTGAAAATCTATGACACTCAGGCTGGGAACGTAAAAGTCAAGTTGGTTTCTTCCAGCATTGGCGGCGTTGTGCACTGAATTGTGATCATAGTTTTGTCACCTTCAAAAACACCTATTGCAGAAGTTCTGTGCTTTTATCACCCACTCAGTAAAACAAAAATTCTAAAAACAAATGATAGCACTTGTAAAAACAGATTTCTTTGCCTGTTTTATCATTGTATTGATAACACTGTAACTTCTACATTTGGACATGGTGAGATTCTACTCCAGTTTATTTTCCTCTTTCATTGGTTGGAAACATTCACTGTTGTACATATTTTTATGCATTTTAATGAGAGCATATGTGTGATTATTGAATAAATAAGAGCGCCTGGGATTCTGAAGCTGTTTGACTTACTTTCGTGGTCTGTTTCTAGTCTGTTTCACTTTCTGGTGCTTGGGCATTAATGCACAACAGCTGCATAGGGGTCAAAACATTGTGAAGCAAATGTTGTTATTAATCATGTTTATTATGATAGCGCCGAGAGAGAAACCGAGAATGGGGTCCCATTGTGCTAGGCTAGTGCGGTACAAACACGGTGCATGGTGAGCAGTCCCTAAAAACACACCGTAAACAGTCCCTGCCCCAGAGAACCTACAAGCAAATTAAGCAAAGGCGGTATTGCCATATAAGTCACGAGTCAGGTCCACAAACATCAAGAGATTGGCTCAAAAATCACGAGGGTTTTTTTTAAATAATTTTGAGGTTTTTATTTACCGTCTGCTTTTTAACTTTTAGGGACCACTCGGGTCACAGTTTCAATCTTTTTTCCCCCAACAGTGAAAGATAGAAATGTACTATTTGTTTTTTTACACAAAAGCTGAGATTGTCAGATAGTCACATGATTCTGTGAGTTGGGTCTCTAAGAAACACACCAAATAGCGTGAGACTCAGGTTAAAATTGTGAGAGTTGGCAACACTGCCAACCTTTAAAAATTTAAAACAATCAAAGAGTTTGTGGGGGGGGAAATCTGCTCATGTTAGGGATTATCCTGCTTCCCTCTCTCAAATCTAAGGGCTGGTCTACACTGGGGGGGGAGGGGGTCGATCTAAGATACGCAACTTCAGCTACGTGAATAGCGTAGCTGAAGTCGAAGTATCTTAAATCGATTTACCTTGGGTCCACACAGCGCGGGATCGACGGCCGCGGCTCCCCCATCGACTCCGCTACCGCCGCTCGCTCCGGTGGAGTTCCGGAGTCAACGGGGAGCGCGTTCGGGGATCGATATATCGTGTCTTAACAAGACGCGGTATATTGATCCCCGATAAATCGATTGCTATGGCGGGTAGTCTGGACATACCCTAATTGTGAGACTTAAGTAACCTGAAGAAGAGCTCTGTGTCAGCTCGAAAGCTTGTCTCTCTCGCCAACCAAGTCCAATAAACCCACCGTGTCTCGCTAATATCCTGGGACCGACGCAGCTACAACAACACTGCATACTAGTTACAGCATCCTTTTCAGAATTCAAGACCAACTTCCAAACACATGCCCATCACTGTCCTTCTTTATACAAAAGCTCATTCTGACAGCAAAAGAAACAAATATCATATATACACAAAAGCAAAGACAGACCTAAAACCAAACCCCTTCCAAACCATGAGGTGTCAGTATAACCTAAGAGATGGGGGAAAATCTGTTCCTATTCTAGAATATATATATATATATAGTATATAAAATAGGGCTAGACACTGTAGTTTGAACACACACATTCCGACCTCAGCTGTCTAAAGTCAAGGCACGTGGACTCTGCAGCGGACTGCACCAAATTGCTGCTCAGGACTTCTCCAGTCTGTGGAGCTCTTGAAATTCCATGGCAGCTTCATCTGAATTTTTCAAATTCAGGTTTGTATTGAATTAAAATTAAAAAAAATAATCCAATCAGCCCCCGCTTATTTTTTATATTAAGTTCCATTTATTTTGTGCTGCTCCCCACGTAAATAGGAATTTACATGTGGAGAAGATCTCCGGTGGTAGGGTTTTGCGTTTGGTTTTTTCTTCCAGTTTTACATAACAAGAGTCAATTGCTGGAAGCTTCTGTTTGACAAATTCAGCCTTGAAATAATAGTTTCCTAGCACTGAGGGTGATTAAACATTAGAACAGCTTCCCAGGGGAGTGATGGACTCACCATTGCTTGGCGTCTTTAAAATGAGATTGGGTATCTTTCTAAAACATACTCTTTAATCCAGCTTCTGGGAGATGTTCTACAGCTTGTGCATTGGGGCGGGGTGAGGGGTTGGATGGTGGTGGGGGTCCTTTTTGGCCTTGGAATCTGTGAATCCATGAGTTCCCTCTATTCATTCCCTTCATGTCCTCATGGGAGGACAGGATTGCTTGCATTGCCCTCAATATGCTTATAACTCTAGCAGCTCTGCATTAAAACAATGGCTGTAATCAAATCTCATGCTTCAGGGCTTCAGCCAGTCAGGTGCAGGGGTCAGGAAGGGTTTTCCCTCCCAATGCACAGTGGGTCAGATAGATTCTTCTTTTTTGGGGGGTGGGAGGGAGGTTGTTTGGGTTTTTTTGTTAGTTTGTGTGGCTCTGAAGCAGCAGAGCTTAGCCACAGCTGGAGACGGGTACAGAGAATACTCTCTTAGGGCTTGTCTGCTCGGGCCCCGGACTACGGGAGGAGGTGAATTGCAGTGCTCACTAAAGTGCTGCTCTGTAACTGCCCTGTGTAGACACTGCAGGTGCGAGCTAAATGTCCTGTTTGAAACAGGACTGCGTTAGTGCCAACGAGGCACCTTTGATTTCAGAGTTCAAATTGCATGTAGATAAGCCCTTAGATGCCTGGCTGGTAGGTCTTACTCACATGCTCAGCGTCATCCTGATCACCAGATCTGGGGTCAGGAAGGAACTTTCCCTGAGGTCAGCTTGGCAGGGGGCCTGCGGGTGGGGGAGAGGGTGGTTGCTTTGCTCTGTAGCACAGGGGGTGTCGCATCTGCGAGGATCATTTGAGCACGTCTCACCGAACCAATTCCCTGCCATCACACGGTGCCTCCAGCACTGTGGGTGAAACGTAATGGACTGTGATATGCCAGACTATGTCATCCATCTGACAATATGTAGCCACTCCATAGAAGTCTTCAGGGGGAAGCTGGAGTTTTGGAAGCTGGCGAGGAGGCAGTGTAGGTGTGTGGCACTCAGGGAGACATGGGAAGTGGTTTGGGATTGCGGGAGGAGCACACTAGCTAGATGCGTCTGCTCAAATGT